TAGGTTTATATCTTTATTTTAAATACATTGCATTAGGAGGTAATTAGCTTTCATAAATATGAATGGACTTTTTCATTCTTGGATTGTACGCAAAGATGAAAAAAATTACAAACAAATAAAATATGTGATATTACCTCAAGGTATTCTCCTTTTAACTGTGTTTTCTCATTCTGACTTCACATTTCCAACAATAGAAATTTGTTAAAAAGAAGACAGTATTTCTATGGCTCAAATGCTTGAACTCCCCTTCATAAGCTTTTCTCTTTTCTTGATTTAAAACAAATGTCTCCAGTGACTTATACAGTTAGTTTACTGAAGCTGAAATTGTGACAGATAGGATTGTAATCCACAGCTGTAAAGGTTTATTAATTTAAAGTAGTAACCTCTGATTTTGTTACAATCAAGCTGTCAATTTTTCTGAAAAGACTTAAGGGTCACATTCATTTGACAAGGAGCCCTGGTGGCAAACTGGTTAAGTGTTCAGCTGCTAACCAAACGCTGCTCCATGGGAGAAAGATGTGGTATAGTCTGCTTCAGTAAAGATTACAGCCTTGGAAACCCTATGGGGCAGTTCTACTTGGTCCTATCAGGTCCCTATGTGTTAAAATCGACTCAATGGCAATGGGATTCATTTGACTAATATATCTCTAAAAAGAAGTGTGCCTCAGGCCTCAGCAGTTTATCTGTGTATTTAGAAAACTTTTTAGGAAAGAAGTCATCTGCTGGCGAAAGCAGTCAAAATGTGGCTTCTACTTTGTGCAACAATATGAGCAATGGTTTTGGTGTCAGGGTAACCACATGCTCCTGCAGTCTCTTAAACAGGACACATTTCATTAGTGCTTCTAGTTCATTGGCCTATCTGTCTAGTGAGCTAGCCACGGGGGCAAATGAAAGCTTTGTATTTTCTTATTTTTTTCCCCATCTGATGTGTTAGTTTTGTTTGCTTTTAGCCTCTTTGGTGAAAGTGGCTTAGCTTTCTTATTTCTGTTTTCTCATGTCGGAATCCATTTCCACTGCCAGAACCTATTTTCTTTTTCTGTGTTTTTCCACTTTTTACATTTATCTGATTGATTTTGATGCCTCACCCATACACCATCTCTTCATAATATCAAGACGCAACAGAATCTCCGCCTTTCACTCTCCAGCCAACATCCTTTCAACATAAGAGTCCCTTCATATGGCTTATATTATTCACAATCCTGGTCATTCTGTAAAAAGGAATTATCTGCTCTCCTAAAAATTACAGACTTGGGTACTCTATGGGGCAGTTCTACTCTGTCATATAGGATGGCTGTGAGTCAAAATCGACTTGCCGGCACGCGACAACAACAACAATGGAACTGACCACTAAAGTCAATTTTCTGATTTGACCATAGGTTCTTTGAGATTAGGGCCATGTTGTTGGTTCTTTCTTCTCCTCCTTCTTCCTCCTCCTCATTTCTTCTCCTCCTCCTCCTTTTGTTCTTATATGATTGATTCAACATTGAGGATCAATGAGGACTCAGGAGGTTGTGCGTTATTAGGGATGACCACCTGCTAACCTCTTCACCCTGCTTCCATTTTTTTCTGAGAATCATCTTGTTGCTGATGATAACATGGATTCAGGTTGAATTAATTCGCTGATGACCATCCTTTACTCCATATTCCAACTACTTTGAAATGATATTAAGAATTCCTGGATCTAGGAACCGGAGGATAAATATCTAGATTTAAGTGACTCTATAGCTCAGCAGTACTGCTGTGCATAGCATGCTGTGTAAGGTTTTCCCCTGTCCAAGTCCACATTCTTTCCCCTACAAATGTGACTTAAGTTTGATTTATCTTTCTAGAATAGACCATTAATAGAATCTTCGCCAGTCTGCTTACTCGAGAAATATCACTAAATCAAACTTCTGAATATAGGAATTTGGATTAGGAATTAAGCTTCTTAATTGTCAGTAGGCCAAGATTAGAGGTATAGAACGGACATACTATCAGCCTTTTTTTGAGGCTGAATTATATAAAATGAAAATCTCAAATTCAAGAAAAGTGGAACTTTGCATAAAATATGTCATATTTTGGCCGGGCTATCATTAGAATAGAAAATCATTTGTATGTATTTACATCTAATAAGGGGAAATAGGCATTTTTCTATGCTCATGCTAGACGACTTTCATCATACTTTTTAAATGCTAAAGGTTTGCTCTACTGGTGTTAGAAAATGATAAATTTGTTCTGACAGTTTCTACATAGCTTATAATGGTGATTTTTGCCATTATCTCTCATGTTTGAAAATTTATGACTCACATTGGCATGTACATACCCTTAGGTGATATATTTACTTTTAAACGTTACATAAATGCTGCTAAATTGGGGGCGGAAGACTCACAGTCAGCTTAAATAATACTGGAGTGTTTGCAAATGATTTTGTGTCTTGGCTACATCTTTATATTCTTCCCATTAATGAATATCATTTATACAGCATTTCTAGAGCACACTGTATTGCAGTGTTTTACATTTAACTTCAGTGAATCCTGAGATATTGTTGGATAGATGGATAGTACTGGATAGATGGGTAGCATTGTTGGATAGATGGATACTTACCCACCTATTGCAATCAGGTTGATTCCAACTAACAGTGACACTAAAGGATGGGAGTAGAACTGCTCCACAGAGTTTCCAAGGCTGTAACTCTTTACAGAAGCAGACTGCCACATCTTTCTCCCATGGAGCCACTGGGTGGGTTCAAACCACTGACCATTTGGTTGGTAGCCGGCGCTTAACCACTGTGCCACCAGGACTCTTTAGAGGAAATAAAAACCCATTGCTGTCAAGTCAATTTCAACTCATAGTGACCCTATAGGATAGAGTAGAACTGCCCCATAGGGTTTCCAAGGAGCATCTGGTGGATTTGAACTGCCAACTTTTTGGTTAGCAGCCAAGCTCTTAACCCTGTACCACCTGGGCTCCTATTAGGAAATAGGTACTGTAGAATTTCATAATTTCAATTTTGAATCCAATGGGTGAAAGTACTGATAATAAAGGTCATTAAAATTGTCTGTGGGTTCTGTGTTTAGTTCAAACTGTATTTCCCTTCTTTGAGACCTCAGTAATTACATGGCAGACAATGACTTACAATTCCTGTTACTTGGCATCCCATGTTCTTTTTGAAATGATCAGAGTCTTCTCCTTTAATCCAAGTTCCCTGCTTAAGAAAATTTGTTGACCACTAAACCATGCAAGAAACTACTGTGTATTAAAAACTCATGTTTCCACTAGTTGATTGGTCCTAATGATGCTCTTACATAATGACCACATGTCTAGTTGTAATATCTTTCAAATAATTGTTTCTATTCTTCCTATAATACCTCTGGGAATCTCTTCTCACTTTTGGTTATGCACAATAAACCTGACCATGTTAAATTAATTACTGTACTAGTTTCTGCTCAAAGTGATCAGGTTATTATTATTTTCCTTGCTGTCTATCCCCAATGAATACTCTTAACTTTGTCTCACAATAATTCAGTAAAATTTTATAATAAGCAGAAAATCCAAGCTCTCAGGTGTAATATAAATGGAAAACATTGTAACTTTTCTCAAAATATGTTTAAATGCAACATCTTTCTGTCTTTATCTGTACTAATATTTTTCTAATTTTTAAATCAGATTAGGTATGGTGAGAATGCAGAGCAACCTGGACTTTCTTACATTGCTGAAAAGATTGCTTATTGGTAGAAATTCTGAAAAAAAATTCTAGCTGTATCTAAGCTAAACACATGTATACCCTAAATCCAACCAACCCAACCAGTTCTCATTAAGTCAGTTCCAACCCATGGTGAACCCAGTTGTGTCAGAATAAAACTGTGCTCCGTAGGGTTTTCAATGGCTAAGTTTTCAGAAGCAGATCACCAGGATTTTCTTCTAAGGCACCTCTAGGTGGATTCAAACCGCCAACATTTCAATTAACAGCTGAGCATGTTACCTGTTCACACCACTCAGGGAGTCCTTTTCCCGGGTAAATACCCAATAGAAATGAGTGTGTACAACTATAAAAAAAGATATGTACAAGAATACTGATGGCTTTCGTTGTAACAGACAAAAACTACAAACAAGCCAAGTGACATTTAGAATGATAAATAAGTTGTGGCACATTCATACAGTGAACAGAGCAATAAAAAATATTAATCACAGACACAACAACATAGAGGAATTCACAGACATGATGTTGAGTGAAAAAAGTCAGGCATAAAAGATTATTATCCTATTTATATGGATTTGTTTAAACTAATCTAGGGATGTCATAATTATGATTACTCTCAGGAGGATATTGATTGGGGGAGGTCGCAGGAGATCTTTCTGGAGTACTGGAAATGGGCAGATTATCCAATAGTCAAGGTAAGCACAGTGATTACCTTGCTTACCAGATCATCTGTAGTGAACAATTTCACTTGGGTATATCTTTGATGTGGCGAAACCCATATGAAGTTGCTCACTATAGATGAGTAAGTAGCACAAGTAAGCCCATGCTTACCTTGCTTATTGGGTCATCCGCCCTTGTCAAGGATTGTAAATTTGAAAAGAGGCTTTGATTCTGTAGGAAGGTGCTGTCGGGTTGGGAGAGAGACAGATGACAGCCGTACCTAGAAGTCGAATCTTTGATGCGATGAAAAAATGTGAAATTATTTGCTGTAGATGATCTGGTAAGCGAGGTAAGCACCATGCTTACTTTGCATATTGGATAATCCACCCCAGTCTGGAAATATCCTGGCTAGGTAGTAGTTAAACAGGGGAATTTATAGGTAAAACTCCAAGAAGCTGTACATGTAAGATTTGTGCAGCTACATATCTATAAGGAATAAGAATAAAATAAAGTATATGTGTTCTTAGGAAGTCTATGTAACAAGTAACATCTGACCATATGCACGTAGTATTTTACCTTTCAAACATCAACGCATGCGTACAGAAAACTCCACTAATTTGCTTTTGAAAATACTGTGTTTTGTTATTTTGTTTTCTTTTAGTGTCCTGAATTTAAAAGACCCAGAGACATTGCTGTTGACTGGGTTGCTGGAAATATTTACTGGACTGATCATTCCAGAATGCACTGGTTCAGTTACTACACCACTCACTGGACCAGTCTGAGGTACTCTATCAACGTAGGGCAGCTGAATGGCCCCAACTGCACCAGACTTTTAACAAATATGGCTGGAGAACCCTATGCTATTGCGGTAAATCCTAAAAGAGGGTAGGTTAATGGCTTAATATTTATTTTTTTATATGAGTATCAACCCATGCTCTGTGGCTTTTTTTCTTTAGTGAGTGTTCAACATATAATAGTTCGGTGACACTTCTGAAAACCTCTGTATCTTTCCCTTTATAAAAGCATGTCCTTTTCACTTGAAATGGTGGCTCAAATTTTATTGTTTCTAGAAAGTTTGCTACAATATGCAATCTGTGTGTGTGTGCATATGGGTGTGTATTGCAGAATAATGAAACTGATGTGATAGAAACAGAGCCATTATTTTTAATCTAAAAGTGCATTTTCAAGATAATAAACATAACATTAAATATTAAAAGTAGAGTATTGATATTTTGGGTTATTTGTAATAATAAACGATAAAAGCATATGTACCATATTTTTACCCAAATATGCATGCCTTCTATGTTTGTTTGCCAACTGCTCCCTCTCCCCGTGAGGTATTTTCATAAGCGTGCTATGCTAATTCTTTTACAATAACATGTAAAAATAAAATTGACATTGAGGTGCTTATGAAAATACCTTGTGGGTGGGGGTTGGCAAACAAACATGGAAGGCATGCATTATTTGAGCAAAATATGATATAAACAAACTTAAACAATTTAATTCAAATACTTCCTTTCTTTTGCTTGAAGAGGTACCTATAAGCAATAGTCAAAAAAGAAATTTGGAAATGTTAAAAACAAAACAAAACCCCCTAATCATCTATAAAGTTATAAAGTGGATCATTAGATCCCGAGATAAAAAAAAAAAAGAAATAAACTATTATTTACTTATTATATTTATGCAATGTTTTCTCTTGTAAATGAGAGAATGATTTCTATTTATAATAATTACTTCTCCATCAAAAAAAAAAAGAAAAAGACAGCATTTTGATGTGATATCCAAAATAGAATGAATGTTCTGTCACAATAAGAGGATAGTTTCACATGGTAGAAATTTTTTCTTCTGAGATTTTAATGGAATTTCAAAAAAATTGAACATTTTTTTATGATATTTTATTTTATTATTGTACTTTAGATGAAGGTTTACAGAACAAATAGTTTCTCATTAAACACTCAGTACACATATTGTTTTATGACATTGGTTAACAA